AATAACATGGATAATTATTCACCATATTTCGATAGCGTAGATATCTATTTACGATAATTATATTACGTGGACACCCTGGATGGATATCAGGTGCATAATCTATTTACGATATTTCGGAACTTTTTATTACATTTCAGCGATATTTCGACAAAGTGAAAAATGTATATACGATATTCTGATACTGTGGATAACATATTTACGACTTTTCGACAACGTGAACAGTTTTTTACGATATTTCGACAACGTGGGATAACCATTTGCGATATTTCAATATCTATACGATATTTTAATAACATAGATGCCATATGTTCGATATTTTGACAGAGGATTCAACCTATTTACGCTATTTCGACATTGCCGAATTATTCTAATACGTTAATCCAATATCATATTTACGATATTCCAAAGTCGATAATGCGGATAATATATATCGATGACTTGGATGAGAACTAACTCACTATATTTTCATAACATGGATAACTATTTTCGATATTTCGAGAACATCTATAATATTCCGCGGATAATATTTATATTTTACGTGGAAAATAATTTTACGATATTTATAAAACGTGGGTAACGTAAATATGTGCATAAAGTGGAAAAATACGATAATTAACGTGGATAATATATTTACGATATTGGGATAACATGAATACCATATTTACGATATTTGGATAATGCGAATAAAATAATTACTATTCATGGGTATCGTGGATACTTATTTACCATATCTCAAAAATATGGATAACGTATTTTAGACCATAGGAATACGTGGATACGATATTTACATCCTTTGGATAACGAAAATAAAATATTTGAGGCCTTTGGATAGACATTCGGATAACAGTGATAACATATTTAAGACATTTGGATAAAGTGGAGAACATATTTACGACATTCGGATAACGTGGATTACAAATTTAAGGTCTTTGGATAAAGTGGATAGCATATTTACGATATCTTGATAAAGTGGATAACATATTTACGAAATTTCGATAACGGGGATAACATATTTAAGACATTTGGATAAAGTGGAGAACATATTCACGACATTTGGATAACGTGGATAACACAATTACGACATTTGGATAATGTGTATAACACATTTACAACACTTGGATAACGTGGATAACATATTTAAGACATTTGGATAAAGTGGAGAACATATTCACGACTTTTGGATAACGTGGATAACACATTTACGACATTTGGATAACGTGGATAATATATTTACGGCATTGGGGTAACGTGGATAACATATTTACGGCATTGGGATAACGTGGATAATATATTTAGAACATTTGGATAAAGTGGATAACATAACTACGACATCTGGGTAACGTGGATAATACATTGAGGACATTTGGATAAAGTGGATAACATATTTACGACATTTAAATCACGCGGATAACATAATTACGACATCTGGATAACGTGGATAATATATTTAGAACATTTGGATAAAGTGGATAACATATTTACGACATTTAAATCACGCGGATAACATAATTACGACATCTGGATAACGTGGATAGTATATTTAGGACATTTGGATAAAGTGGATAACATATCTAAGACATTTGGATGAAGTGGGTAACATATTCACGACATTTGGATAACTTGGATAACACATTTAAGACATTTGAATAACGTATATAACACATTTACGATATTTGGATAACGTGGATAATATATTTACGGCATTAGGATAACGTGGATAACACATTTACGACATTTGGATAACGTGGATAATATATTTACGGCATTGGGGTAACGTGGATAACATATTTACAGCATTGGGTTAACGTGGATAACACATTTACGACATTTGAATAATATATTTACGACATTGGGGTAACGTGGATAATATATCTAGAACATTTGGATAAAGTGGATAACATATTTACGACATAATTACGACATTTAAATCACGCGGATAACATAATTACAACATCTGGATAACGTGGATAATATATTTACGATATTCAAGTGACATTTCTACACTTTTTTCGATGAGATGGAGAAAATATTTACGATATTTAGATGGCATGGACAATAATTTACGATATTAAGGCGACACTGGTACGATTCTTCACGATTTGATTGAGAAAAGATTTACGACATTCAAGTGACATTTCTACACTTTTTTCGATGAGATGGAGAATATATTTACGATATTTAGATGGCATGGACAGTAATTTTCGATATTAAGGCGACACTGGTACGATTCTTCACGATTTGATTGAGAAACGACTTACGATACTTGATTTTTTGGGGATATCTGTTGAAAATCTTTTAATAGGCCTCTCAATTTACCCTTTTAAAGGGGATAACATATTTACGATATTTGGATAATGTGGATAATATATTTACGACATGTGAACATCGAAGATATGCTTTAAACATATTTACGATATATATAGATGACGTGAAAAATTATTTGAGATATTTAAGTGACATAGGTAAGGTTTTTACGATGAGAAAATATTTACGATATTTCGATGACACGGATAATAATTTACGATATTTAGGCGTGACTAGTAAAATCTTTACGATTTGATTGAGAAAAGATTTACGATAATTGATTTGTGGGGATACCTGTTGAAAATCTTTCAATAGGACTCTCACAGTTTACCTTTTTACAGAGTATAACATATTTACGACATGTCAACATCGAGAATACATATAAATAATATGTATAAAAATATTTACGATATATTTAGATGACCTGGAAAATTATTTACGATATTTAAGTGACATGGGTAAGGTTTTTACGATGAAATGGAGAACATATTTACAATATTTATACTCGTATGAGATGGAAAATTATTTACGTTATTAAGGCGACAATGTTAGAATCTTTACGATATTCTGTTGAGATTGACAAATATTTACGATAGTTGATTAGGTTGGATATCTGTTGAAAATCTTTCAATAGGCCTCTTAATTGACTTTTTTTTACAGAAGAAATCACACTGGGGCCTACTCAAGAGGACTTCTTTCTTATCAGAATTTCTTTCTGTAAATAATCCACACTATCATTTTTATCCGTAAAAGACTTCGAAAAATATCTTCTTTGTACAATGGACTAGTTAAAATAACTACTAGGCCTTCAATCGGTTAAAGTCCCTATCAAACTCAAGATGTCTGCAAAAAAAAAACAGAAGCCCCCTCAATAGGAATTTTATCCATAGACCACTTTTCTAGAGGCTCTTTATCGATTGATGTCCTCTCACGAGGCCCTCTATCTGTAAATTACCTCTCAAGAGGTATTTTTTCCAACAAATGCAGATTCAGGGACCTTATAGGCCTGCTATTCATAGAATTACTCCCAAGAGAACTAATAGGCCTTCAATCTTGAAAAATCCAGACTCAAGATGTGTTAAAAAAAAAAACAAACAAACCTGAGCCCTCGAATGAACTTTATCCATAGACGACTTTCTGGAGGACCTACATCTATTGATGTCCCCTCAAGAGGCTTTCTATCTATAAAATAGCTCTCAAGAGGTATTTTTTCAAAGAAACATAGATTCGGGCACATTAAAGGCCTTCTATTCATAGAATTACTCCCAGGATAACTGCTGTAAAAATCCCACACAGACTCAATGTGTCCAAAAAAAAGAGCCCTCGAAAGGAACTTTATCCATAGACGACTTTTCTAGAGGCCCTGCATCTGTTGATGTTCACTCAAGAGGCTTTCTATCTATAACATAGCTCTCAAAAGGTATTTTTGTAAGCAACACCTAGTCAGGGGTATTACACCGATACAAGTCCTCTAAAGAGAGTTTCTACAAAAGAAACCTTCTATTTAAAGAATTACTCACAGGAGTTCAGTCCAAATAGCCATTCGAAGAAGTTCTAAGTTCAGGAGTTCTATCCATAGCATATTTATTTAAAAAACGATTTATCTATAGCCTTCTATCAATACAAGGCCTATTGAGGCTTGTCCGCAGGTAACCTTCTTTGCATCAATTGAATTTTGTACGGGAACAAATGCAAATCAATGCGAATAATCCGTTGTACAGTGGACCGAGCCATGCCCAACTGCTTAGAACGGCGTTTTTGGGATGTTCTTGGGGACCTCTCAACACTGGCTCGTACGGCAGCGATATTCTCGGCCGGTCGCCTTGGTCGACTTTTATATGGCCTCTTTGGATTAGAAAGAGTCTTACCAGTCGAAATTTTTCGTATAAACGCTTAATGGTGTTCTTAGAAGGCGCACTTCTCACATTTTTTAATGTTTTAAAAGCACCTTGAGTTTTTACAATTGACTTCTTCTGTTGAATGTAAATTTCAACTATTTCGCATGGCGTGTGTTGGTTCATGGTAAAAATCTGCTTGGACTGACGCTTCAAACGCGGTATGTCATTAATCGATGTGACATCTCTGTCAAAAGTTATGGGGTTGCCAGATGGTCCGTCGAATATGGGCAACCCTGTATGTATCTGAGTGATCATCAAGAGGCTTTCTATCTTCAACGAATACCTCTCAAAGATCCTTTTATGAATAGAATGGGACCTTTAAGACCTTCCAAAAGTTTTTATATCTATTGTACAGATGTTTCCGTTTTTAACCAATTCTTTCAACGGATGTATCTATAATTTCGAGCTAATATTTCTAAATTGCGGTTCTTCATTGGGCAAATAGGATTCCAGGACAAAAAATGCGTATTTCGATATATTGTTTCGGTGGCGCCCGACTATGATTTTTGCATTTCATACACTGCTGATTGAACTGCACTGAAGCATTCCCTGACATACTAGATTGATATTTCCAAGAAATTTCTTCTAAGCCAATTAAGTCTGAAAATACATTACATACATACATAGAATTCCTATTGAGAAAAAAAAAAACAAAAACTATTAACTACTCCCACCTAATTTACTCACTCGCTTTTTTGCTTTGAAATTATCCAATATTTTATTGTTTTCAAAAAAAATGTTATTATTTCTTTCTATCACCACCTGCTTAATGTCACCCCCGTACTAACCCGTCAATAGTATTATCAGATTCTGATTTTCTTACGTCAACAGGAATGTTTAAGACTGAAAATTATAGAGCGTTTACTGAAGGAGGGTTCCAGTGCCGAAGAACCGATCAATATACCATTGTCCGATTATTCAAGGTAAGAAAACAAAAATGAAATGAAAACCCCCTATTCCCTTTTATGGGCAATATTTGATCCAAATCTTCACAGTGATGAGGGTAGCAGTTCAAGTTCCGATAATGAGGGCAAGGGACCATCTTCGTCAAAGGACTTTTCCGATTTAGAAGGCCCCTGCTGTCATCCGTTAAAGGCGCCGCCTTGTTCGCCGGAACTGGATATGGAAATAAGAAAGGTGAGTGAAAATGAAAACCTATCAGAAATATTGCCCAGGACACTATATACCTAAAATACAAGGACAAAAACCTTAATCCGAAAATTACAAAAAAAAAAATACGGCAAAAGGATCTTGCCCCCTTTTTATACCCTACACCACAAGGTGGTCAGGGTATTATGTCTTTGTGCATTTGTTTGTAACAGGCAATAGGAAACGAGATAGACCCATAGTTCCTTTTGATGATCTGCATAGAATCACATTCTGAGTGGATTTATGCATGTCCGTCCGACGGTCTGTCCATGTATTTTTGTAAACAAAGTGCATTTTTGTAAACAAATTTATTGCCCTATCCAGATGAAATTTTGCACAAATCATTTGTTTGGCCCAATGACGAACCCTATTGAAATTTGAGATAATCGGTCAAAATTTAGATATAGCTCCCATATATATCTTCGTCCGATTTGCCTTTTATTGTGCACCAAACGTGTAACATCAGTACGAATAGTATGGAATTTTGCACGTACGATCAGATTGGACCTGAAAATAAGTGTGCCAAATTTGATCGAAATCGGTTCAGATATAGCTATAGCTCCCATATATATTATTCATCCGATTTGTTATTTTCGTCCTCCGCAGCCGTAATATGCACTCTGTAACAACAATATGTGGGGAAATATATCAAATACAGCTCAGAAATACATTTGCTAAATTTTATCGAGATCGGTTCAGATTTGGATATAGCTCCCATATATAACTTCGTCCGATTTACTTTTGATTGTGCACCAAACGTCTAATATTTGCCCAAATTGGAAGTAATTTTGCACTTACGACCGAAGTGAGTCTAGAAGCTAGTATGTCAAATTTGGTGAAGATCGGTTCAGATATAGCTATAGCTCCCATAAATACTGTACATCCGATTTGTCATATTTGTTACCCACAGCCGTAATATGCACGCCGTAACAACGATATTCAGGGAAATATATCAAATACAGCTCAGAAATATCTTTGCCAAATTTTATCGAGATCGGTTCCGATTTAGATATAACTCCCATATATATTTTTATCCGATTTCAAATTAATTGTGCACCAAATGGGCAATACAAGTCCGTATTTAAAAGATACAAATGCTTCGGCATATTTAGTCCTTTAAATTATAATTATAATCATAGCGTGTATGATTGAATTCTCCCATAAAAACTTTTAATTGTTATGCGCAGCTCTACTAAATTAGCAAAGTGGTGTAGGGTATCATATAGTCGGCCCCGCCCGACTTTAAGACTTTCTTTACTGGTTTTAGCTTAATTTATGGTGTAAAATTTTAAGACGCCAATACACGTGTCTTCTCTTTTTATCTTTAATTTCATAATTTATAGGGTGTTCTTTGCAATCACTGAAACAAAAAATGAATTTTGTAGCACAGTGTAATTAATATTCTATCCGAAAATGTTTAAATAATTGAAACCAACGAATTTCCTTCAAAAATTTTTTTTGTAAATTCTGAAAAAAACATTAATTTTTTTTAATTCCTTTACATTTTTATATTCAAAATCATTCTTCTTCTCAACTTCAGTTCAAATATTCGCGCATGCGCAAAATAATGCAAGAGCTAGATCGAATTTACTTTCAACCACTGTTTCACAAGAAATGTCAATTTTTGCAAAAATCAAGGCGACCCACCCCTCCAGTAATTATACGCAGTAGACCTAAAATAAAAAATAATCTCAAAATGCCCCTGAAGTCAAAATCTAAAATCAATATCAAACAAAAGCCATTTCACAGCAAAATTCGTAGAAATGATAATTTATCAACATCCCCATCTCAATCGACTTTGACCAATTCCAAAATCACTTTGCAATGTGTACGCCCAATTTCGGATTCTGCAAGTTCTTCATCGTTGAATACTCTCAAAGGTGGCAATTCTCAGGGAGAGCTTGTGAAGAAGAAACGGCGCAAAGGAGGCCATTGCCGTCCAATGGCCAATGCCAAACCCCGTTTGAAAGTCTCACGAGCATTACGTCTGTGGTTGGAAAAACGCCAAATAATTATCATTCGTCGAAAATTGGTAAATAAGAGATTAAAATTTCCTCCCCAAAGAAAACGAATTGCAAATGTATCCTCCTTGATATGGAGATAAACCAAGTGTATGTATGTATGTGCATGTGTATATATTTTTTTTTTAAATTCTATGTAGCATTTTTTCAAAGAAAATAAAAAACCTTGAGGCACAGATTTACTAGATATTTTGACAATAATGTCCAAAATTCCATTAAAAAATTCAGATAATTTTTAAAGGACAGACACTTAGGATTCGGTTTGGAAAACAAATACATATGGACGAAATAAATACATTTGGAATCTTGGCAAAAAAAATTTGGAATAACATGACCAGAAAACCCTTGTAAAAGGTAATGTAAACAACCACATTTTTCATTGCTAGTAGAGGTTGACAAAAGAGCTATTCTGCAATAACTTATTTGTATGCCCTCGGCCATATGGCCAGAGAAGGTTTATATCATTAGATACGACCAAAAACGTACCTCATCGATTTAACGATTTTAAACCCTAGGTCTCTTTGGGACAAATCCGTTTCAGGACATTTGGAGTCGATCTAGCGATGTTCGTCCGTCCATCCGTCTGGCTGGTGCGCACTATAACTCTCGAAGGGAGCATCCGATTTGGTCTAAACTTGGTACATAGGAATATTATTATCAAATTTTAGATCGGAGTTCGGAGATAGGCAATATCGGCCAACTCCTTCTGGCACCTCCCCTACAAGAGGTCGAGATTTTCAAAAAAAAAAGTATTTGACTGCACAAAAAACAAAACGATTTGGCTCCAACATTGCAAATCCTAATATTTCCTTCAGTGTTACGTCAGGTGCGAAAATGTATAATATCGGTCCACTCCATCAAGTATCTCTCCCACAAATGGTCAAGGGTTTGAATAATTTTAACTCTAATAAAAGGTGATGTAAGAATCCGGTTGCCTTCAAATTACACACATCACAATATTTTTACTTAGCCGAGGTCTGCTGTGAAGATGGAATATATCGGACCACACCCCCACAAAAGCCTCAACATTTCCAATTTCCATGAAGCTCATAAAACGCGATATTAATATTCAATTCCATTCAGACTTGGCACATCTCAATATTTCCATCAACACAAGATCTGTTATAAAGATGGTAGAGATCGGAAGATTTCTTCTGGTACCTCCCCCACAAGGGGTCAATGGTTTGGATAACCAAAACTATTATAAAGTCCGAAATAATTATTCGGTTCTCTTCATATTTCACACATCTCATTATTTCTACTAACATAAGATCTGCTGTGAAGATGGAATAAATCGGTCCACCACTTCTGGTACCTCCCCCACAAAAGTCTCAACATTTCCAATTTCCATGAAGCTCATAAAACGCGATATTAATATTCATATCCATTCAGACTTGGCACATCTAAATATTTCCATCAACACAAGATCTGTTATAAAGATGGTAGAGATCGGACGATTTCTTCTGGTACCTCCCCCACAATGGGTCAATGGTTTGGATAACCAAAACTATTATAAAATCCGAAATAATTATCCGGTTCTCTACATATTTCACACATCCCATTATTTCTAATAACACAAGATCTGCAGTAAAGATGGAATAAATCGCTCCACTACTTCTGGTACCTCCCCCACAAAGGGTCAAAATGTTGAATATCTATGCAGCTCATAAAACGCGAAATTAACATCCGATTCCGATTCAGACTTCGTATATCTCAATATTTCCATCAACACGAGATTACCTTCCCCACATAGGGTTCAAAATTTTAAAAAACAAAACGCTCAAAAATAGCATCGAATTTTAGAATAAGTTTCGATTTGTTCGAATTGGTCACCTTTGGCAACTCACGCAAAATGGCCTTCAAACGGACAATGAAATCGCCACACGCTGCCCTAATGTTGCTCTGCGGTAGTTTGACCCATTCCCGGCAAAACGCTTGCTTGAGGTGATCGACACTTTGGTATTTTTTAGTGCCAACCTTGCTTTCCAAAATACTCCAGACACAACAGTCCAACGGATTGATATCCGGAGATTTTGGTGGCCATTGTGCGCTGGAAATGAAGCGAGGAACCTCATTTTGTAACCATTCTTGGGTGGCGCGGGATGTATGCAATGGTGCTGAGTCCTGTTGGAATGTTCAAGGTCTGCACCAAAATGTTTACATGCCCAAGGCTTTAGTACAGCCTCCAGAATATTTTCGCGATTATATTCGGTATTTATTCCTTTGCCACGATTGATTAATAGGAGCGGAGAACGACCATCGGCTCTTATGGCGGCCCACACCATCACCACAGCCGGCGCTTGAGTTCTGGTGGCCAACCGAAGGTGCACATTTCCAGCTGAACTCTTTCACAAGTAAACACGATCATTTTGTTTGTTCACAAACTGCTGGACAACGAATGTTTTCTCATCGGAGAAAATCAAATTCGGCAGTTCACCACTCTCGGCCAAGCGAAGCAACTCTTTAGCTCTGAGTCTATATTCTTTCTGTTGCGGGGTAAGTTCTTAAACTTTTTGGAATTTCAATGTCTTTAACCCGAGCTCATTTTTCAATATTTTCCGAATGAAAAATTGCGATATGTTCAGCTCACGAGCCATTTTTAGGCCACTGCGACGCGGGTTTCGATCAAGTCGCTTCTTTACTTTTCGAATGATTTCTGCTAATGTTGCTGTTTTCTTCCTTCCACTTCCTTGAAGTCGGGCTACCCTACCAGAATCACGGTAACGAGCGATGGTACGAGACACAAAAGATTTATTCACATTTAAATGCTGAAGTGCTCTAACGATAGTCACTTGTGGTTTTCCAGCCAAATATCAAGAAATCACCCTACCACGCTTGAATTCCATCACGAATAACTTCTTTTCTGGAAAATTTTCACCAAAATGCTTTTGTACACTGGTAAACAATATAATGAGCTGTCTCTGGAATAATTTTAACAGCTGTCGAACGAGGTGGCTTAGAAGGGACAGCAGTCTGAAGTTGGTTGCGGTTTTTTCATCTCTACCTGTATAGTCCCAACCTGCCACGTCGCAATATTTATATCATATTTATTTAGGTCCCAGACGAAATGGACTATATTGGCCCATTCCTTCGGAACCTACTCCATTAGAGGGTCAAACATTTGAATTATCATAACAGAAGTGAAAATATTATTTAAATCATCGAACATTGGCTCATGTTATACATCTGTCGGTAAAATCGTCTGATAATTTTTAACTCGTTTTCAGTATCAAGAACCACTTGAGCGGAAAAACTCTTTACATGGTAATGGTAAAACTTTTGCAACAACGTAATGAGTAGAAGGCAATAGTAAGTCAGATACCGCTGTTTCGATGCGGCACATTGTGACCGTAATAAATGATACAAATAACCCCGCCGGTAGTCATAAGGCTGAAGATATAAAAATATATTGAACCAAAAAAAAAGTGCCTTCTCATCACCTTGCAACCATGACGTAAAACTATTGCGAAACCAAGTCATTAAAAGCGAAGAAAATTACAATAAAAAAAAAACTTTTTTTTTCACTTATTTCACTTTGCCCAGGTTTTCTTCCGCTTTTCATTGAGTTAATTAAAAAAAAATTGCAATTACTTTGCTTTTAATTGGATGATGCCTCGTTGTTTTCTGTCTGTCTCTGCCTGCTATTGAAAATGAGAGAGAGAGAGGGAGAGAGAGAAACACCAATGAATTAATTGTTTTTCGACATCTTTGTAAAAATTGTATAATTTACATTTAAATCGATTTTCTAGGTGATGATGATGCCAAAGCAGGCAAGAGTAGAGGGGAGAGCGCAGGGAAGAAGAGAGAGAAGACCGAAATTACAAAACAACAAACGTAAATTAATTAAAAGTTCATTGTCAGGGACACTTTCAACGACTCATTCATGTTAATTTATTGGTGTGAAGGTAGGTAGGTGGTGGTGGTCCAAGAAGGAGATGGGGGGAATTAATCTGAAATCCGAACAAAATACAATGAAAACACAGAAAAAAACAAGCAATTGCCAAAAAACCAACGATAAGGGGGTGGGCAGAAGAATCATCACAATGAAACTAATTTTCAGGGTGAATGGTCACTTTGTCGTACGATTGAATGATGGAAACACACATATGTATATACACACCTGTATGTGTGTGTAAATGGGTAGGGAGAGAAACATGTAAATTCTCACAAAAAAACTCTCAAGAAAAATAAATATATAAAGCCCTTTTATGACATTTTTGGTGCGGAGAGAAAAAAACACAACCTCACATAAACAAATTACCCCAAAATTGGAAATTATCGGCAATTGAATGGGTATCGCAAAGTGTGTCACAACTTTTTATACCCACCACCATACTATGGAGGGTATATTAATTTTGTCATTCCGTTTGTAACTCCTCGAAATACTCATGTCAGACCCAACAAAGTATATATATTCTTGATCAGCTAAGACGATTTAGCAATGTCCGTCTGTCTGTCAGTCTGTCTGTTGTAATGTAATCACGCTATCTTTCGAACAAATTGAGATAGAAGGCTAAAATTTTGCACACATGTATATTTTACCAGTAGGCAGGTTAAGTTCGTAAATGGGCCATGTAGGTCCAAGTTATCATATAGCCCCCATATAACGGTACCTCCTCATATTCGGTATTTTGATGATTTTAGCCACATTATTCGCCGGAATTGCTTCATATTTGGCATTTGAAGTTCGTATTGGATACTACAGCCTAAGACAGAAAATTATCTGAGCAGGTCCACGTCTTCATATAGCCCCCATATAACGGTACCCCCTCCCCCCCATATTCGGTATTTTGATGATTTTAGCGACAGTGTTTACAGGAATCGTTTCAAATTTGGTGTTTGAAGTTCGTAATGGATACTACATCCTAAGTCAAAAAATGAAATGTAGGTGAAATGTAGGTCCACGTCTTCATATAGCCCCCATATAACGGTACCCCCCGATATTCGGTATTTTGATGATTTTAGCGACATTATTTAGCGGAATCGTTCCAAATTTGGTATTTCAAGTTTG